CCATTTATTAGGGTTTCATTTTATTTCCTTCACTGCATGAATTTTCTACAAATAGGGTCTTTTCCATTCCTGTCAAAACAATGTTTTCCTAAATATTTTATGGTTTTGGACACCATTTGATGCAGTCCTGTAGCAAAGGAAAGAGAATGGTCTATTTCTCCCACCCTGACTTCCAATTTTGGGTGCTGTGTCTAGATTGGAGAGAAGTCATTGATTTTGGTATATCTGGCTTGTCACTTTATCAAAATTTTTATTTTAATTTTCTAGGTATGCAATTACGTCACATAAAAAAAGAAGAAAATCTTTTACTATTTTATTCGTTACTTAACTTCTAGCTTATTCATTCACCTAGAAAACTATGTTGGGTCATAAAAGTAATAATAGTATCTTTGTGTAGTTCTAAATTTTATTATCACAAATTGAGAATTTTCCATTTATCTAACATCTGCTATGTTCTGTGATAATTTGTTACGTCCCAGTAGATAACTAACATATTGACTTGCTGACTATTATGGTATTTACACACACCTTATTTCCAATAGTTAAGTGCTTCTACCTGGCTTCTTCTGGTCAGGGACCCCATTATTCCCATTGCTACTAAGCCGCTATCTCCTACCCACAACCTAAGTGTCTCCAGAGGACAGACATCATTAAGCTCAATGTTGCTAGTGCTCCCCTCGACTGTGCATTCCTCATTGTTTTGATGAAAGAAGTGTCCTTCAGGACTTCCCCAAAATGGTCTTATAGAAAACCCACTCTGGCATGCCCACGTACTGGAGACTTTTACCCCATCTTTCAACATCTGACACAGCAGTCCTGGCATTTCTGTTTCATAGATTGTGGGCCATGGCCTTTTCCAAGTTTCCAAGAGCAATCGCAGCAGTGTATTAAACCCATTTCCAACCCCCTTGCTATGGCAATAAATCCTTGTTAGGGGAGAGTTTCCCCATATCAACAAATTCTCCTTGACTCAACTTTATATTAAACCCCCCTTGATTCAGCACCTTCAGCATTCATTCCTAAACACACCCCCATCCTGCTCACATAAGTTAGCCAGATCTTGCAGCTCCTTCAGTGTACAGTCCCTCTCTGCCTTACCACAACAAATACTTCCCTGAGTGGGTTATGCTGATATATGACAACTAAGTATCTGGACAAATGCATGGGACAGCTATCTAAGGACTCTGCGAAGAATATGGTTGAAGGTAGATGGGGGAGGAAACCAGAACATAAAGTATGAACAATCCAAAGGCTG